ATCACTTCTAGATATATTGTCTAGCTCTTTCTGGTTTACTGTTTGTTTACTGTCTATATATAAAAAGTCTTATTATTTTTTCTGTTTTAAAACAGTATTGTGTTTTACCTTATTTAAAAAAATACTTACTACTTTATTAAAATAATTATTAAAAATTTCAAAACCTTTGTATGAATATTTCTACTATTGTTCTCACTAACATTGTCGATTTCAATATTACGATATAATAAATTATATATAAATAACAATAAATAACAATAAATAACAATGAATAACAATAAATAATAGGAAACTATAAATGTTTATGTAAAAGTGATATTAAAATATATGAAACAAATTCACACTAAACGATAGATACGACATAGAACAAATTACGGATTATTAACATAGTTTTCAATCTTGCTATACTTATTAGTCTTTATTATTAAAGATGTATAAATGACAAAATTCAACACCTTTTATTTTATATTTGTAAAATATGTTTTTTTGTATAATATACACATGATAAAAACAAACATACAAAAATTATTTTTCTAATTAAGTATACTAAAAATGTAATGTACATTATATAAGACTGATCAGGTAAAAGGTAAGCAAAGGAACCAATAAGCTTTGTATTATAAATACTCCTTTAGATCCAAGGCAATCACAGATGGATATAAGAAATGGGAAAGAACATTAAAGAAACATTAGGACGACATTTAAAACTTGTTAAAGACATAGTTGGATACTTTAGTTATTGATTAATTATATATAACACACAGTTTTTTCAAAGAACGATAAATAATATCATTAAAACTAAAACTTACGACTACTTATTACAAAAATACTTCAAATAATAGATACGAAGTCTTCATAATAAGGATTACTCTTCTTCCAAGTCCACCTCGTAACCTACATATTTCTTTTTATCTGTTCCGACTAAATCCGTCGAAGTAATATAAACTTTATATTTTGATATATGACGTACGAACGATAAATTGATATTTTTTCTATTATAAAATATAGAAATTACAATAGCGCCTAGAATCACTGCAAGGCTCAGGGGATAATTATAAAATTCTAAATAAGAAAAACACATTTTTTCTATGGGTATCTGATGCATAGGAAGATGTGTATTGATACATGTTAAATTATCTAAATCTTCATAATAAACTCGATGTGATTGAACGAATTCAATTAAATTTCGATTATTGCAATCACATATAATTGGATTCCCACTTAAAGTGAATTTTTCCCAATGTATAGATTTCAAGTAACTCAATTCGTGAAAAAAAATTCTTGATATATGATTATTATGTAATTCCAATACCTAAAAACAAATAAGAATAATGAATAACAATTTTGTAAATATCTCTAACAAAAGAAATAAAAAATATTAAAATATTAAGCAACGTACTTTGAGGCTATATGGTAACTTATCAAGCGTTATTGAAGAAATTTTGTTATTGGATAAAAGTAAACCTGTAACGTTTATTGGATTAAATGTTTCCGTTGATGGTATCTCCGTTAAAAAATTTCCTGTCAGATTTAATATAAAAGGATTGTCTCTCTCAAAAATCACTTTTCTCTTATCGATTAAAAATTCTGACATATATTTATACGAGCAATCTAAAATGCGAGTCTTATCTGACGGTCTTACACTACAAGTACAATCATTTTGACATTTTTTTTCAGTTTCAAAATATTCGTGCTCGAGACATTTATAAGTGCTTGAATGAAGATTACTAATTTCTATCTCGTTCTTTCCATCAGGTTGTACACACGTTAAATTTCCCATTATAATGTTAAAATAATTGTAAACAGGTGTGATCATCTTTCTCTCTCGATAACGCAAAAGATCATATAAGGAACAATCACATAATAAGGTACTATGTCTCAAGTCGATGACAATGTTTCGGTTCTCCCAATCCTCGATTCTATCAAAATAAATATTTTTTATTTTATTATACCTCAGATCGATTCTCATTTTGTGTGACGGTGAAATGAATGAAGACGCCTGCAGAAAAAAAAATAAATATTACTAAATGTAGACGATTATTAAAGAAAATGTATTTTCTTTCTATTTTGATCTTATCTTGCAAATTTATGAAAATAATATTATTTAAAAGTATGCATGAATATTAGAATTTGGTATTTACCGTTACGCTGATAATGAAGTTGTGACTCAAATCTAATAATTTTAATTTGTAGTGACCACTCGACAAATCATCGAAGAAAGAATATAAGCTACTGTTCGATAAATACAATTCCTCGAGATTACGATTTCTATAAAAAACTGATAATTTTCCATTTGCGAAAGGCAAACTTAGCGGATTATGAGAAAACCTCGCAATGCATAGATTTATTAGGGGGGCAAGACCCTCTTTATCGATATATAGTAATTGATTTCTTTCCATATTTAATTCATACAGAGAACCCATACCGAGAAACAGATTTCTAAAAAATATTATAATTTGGAAATAAAATATATTAAAAATGTATTTTCCATAATTATTTTTTTTATTTACCTTGATACACGAAACATTTGGTTGTCGGACAAATCGAGTACTCTTAATTTTTCCATATCTTCAAAGATTTTATTAGGAAGAGTATTAATTTTATTGTTATTTAATGACAGTTTTCTAACTTTCTTTAGACCACGGAAGATATTATTGGGTAAAGTAACAAAAGAATTATCGTTTAAAAAGATATACTCTAATGATAATGAACCCCAGAAAAGATTTTCTGGTAAAGATATAAATCTATTATTGTTCAAATGGACATGCTGAAGTTTCGTAAGACTCGCCAAAAGAAAATCTGGCAAGGTGCTTATTTGTTTAAAATTACTATTTAGATATAATTCTCGCAATTCTTTATTTTGATCGAAAAGATTTGCTGGTATGTAAGTAAAATAATTCATAGAAATATCCAGCCGCTTCAAATTCTTTAACCCATGAAAAATTGTCGACGGTAATTCCCGTAAAGAATTATTTGCTAAATTCAAACATGTTAAAGATACTAATTGATCAAATGTGCCTACTTCGATTTCTTCCAAAAGATTTGACATAATATTTAAAGACTCTAGTTTTTCTAACGTATAAAATACTTCAAGAGGTATAATGTCTATTCCACTTGAATTTAATATAATTCTCTTTAGATTTGGAGTTGCTATAAAAATATCATCAGGTAGGTCAATATAATTATTTGATAAATCAATATGCTCCAGTTCGGGAAAATCCAAAATAAAATCATTAGAAATATGAAATAAACCGTTATTAGATAAAACTAATGAGTTCACATTTTTGAATCCTTTAAGATGCTCTCTTTTTAGGGTTGCGAAAAGGTTTTTAAAAGATTTAAAGATGAGTGTGTGTGTTTCCGTTACTCCTAATTGTTTTACTATGTTTTTTAAACTAATTCCATCTGGTAATCCACATTTTTCGAAGCTTAGAGATTGAAGTTTCTTTTCGGATAAACGTCCTCTGATAAAAAAATCTTCCCATGTTCTCCAATTTTTACAAACGATCTGTAATTTTATCATTTTATTTTATTCGAAAGAAATAAGTAATTGATTGATTTATCTTTTAGAAGATAATAGATAATCAGAATAAATCTCTTTAATATAAAACTATTTTTGTAGTTTTATAAGTAAAGATATTGGAGAAAATTGGTTGAATAAAAAAGCTTCCGTGTATATACCTGTATATTATTCCTTGATTTAATGTTGACGATGTATCCTGTACTATTATCAACATTGCAAACAACATTTAATTCCTCTGATTTCTTTGACGAACATTCGCATGCTGGATTCTCCTTACAAGGAGTAGTGTTGATTGTTGTGAATGTAATTAAAAATATGACTAAAATTTTAAAGATCATCTTATCTTAATTGTTCACTAGAAGAAGGAAAAGCAACTAAGATATACAATTACTATTGTGTTTTCAAATATTTTAATTTTATAATGCAACTAAAATCGGAAATATATTGCGATGAATGTTTGCAATCTATAATAACTTTTGCTAAAGCTACGATTTATTGCCCTAACAATCTATTCTTTCAGTGGTATTTAAATTGTTTTTTTTTTGGAGGTTCCCGGGGTTTTACGTTATCCGAAAAATGATAAGGATTACTGCTTTATATCAACTTTTTTCACATTTCATTAGTATATATGCGAATTGAATAAAGCTATAATATTATTTTTTCTTACTGATATGTATCATTTATTCGATAAAAAAGAAAACTAACCAAGTTTCATTAGCCAAATTTTTAACTGTGATATTCACACTTTCTCGGAATACTGGACAGTATAAATCTTATACAATTTCCAGAAACTTTTTATAATGTGCGAAATACAAGAAAATTCTTTTCGAAAAATAAAAAGAAGATATAATAACTAACTTAATTAATAATTTTATAGAACTTAAGTAATTAATAAGCAAAATCTATTACTACAGATTTTCACTTAAGCATATCTAACAGATAGCCACAAATAATCATCGCGTTGTTATTCGAAATTAAATTTATTCCGCGGTAAAGCGATCCTATTTACATTAAATGTCTTTATTTTTAATAGTTTATTCATTTGAATTCGATCTAAATAGAGCAAGCAATATACACAAGTTATTTGAAAGATGAAAATTAAACAAGGAACTTCCCCATATAATGTAATGAGCTAGCCAGCTTTTAATGTAAATAGCTTACATTAGATATTATCACTTCCTTATATTTACTTTCCGTTCATTCTTTATCTAATATGGTATTTATAATTTAATTTATTTGTATTTTAGGGAATCATTGTTATTACAACAATTTTTATGTTTATTATTATTTCTTCTTTCTTAATGTATTCACGTATTGTCTTTTCTTGATTACTTATATTTTTAAATTTTAAATAAAAACCATAATTTACGATATAACTAGTTTTTACTAGCTGTTCTCTGGTAAAAGATAAATAATTTACGTACTTACCTACAATTTTTGGTGACCAAGTACTAATTAAGCGATTCTGTAACGTTATTTATGTCATGGGGTAGTTTCTATCTTTTGATTTAGTGTAAAGTCACGTCGCCAAGCTCGAGGGTCAACAAACCTTAATCCTACGCACAATCGTAAATGCTCCATGGAACATCCGTAATGTAGAAATAAGGAAGGACTTAAACATTCCTACGGTAGAAGGAGAAATAACCAAGCCAACCTGAAAATACAAAAAAAGTATTGATACGCACTATTACGCACATAGACCTGCTAGCTAATGTTATCTACACCAATATATCCCTAGAATGCTCAAAGGAATCCTCCCACGAGATCTAGTAAAAAATTAAATCAAAATGAAATAAATGATAATTGCGACGCTATCTCATTGGAGAATGAACTATCCTGTGCTATCTTTTTTCACTTATAAAACAATTTACCAAATGTCTACAGACAAATTGTAAAGAAGTATGGAGTTGTTAAAAACAAAAAAAAAAAACAAAAAAAGTAGGATAAGTTAAAAAAAAAGGCAAAAATTGTCACTAACATCAGAAGCTGGTATAAGAGATTTGGAAATTATTTCATATAATAATTAACTTAATAATGAAAAAAAAATCTAAGAATTCAATAATAATAATAAAAGCGATTACATATTCTAAGAAAAAATAATAAAATAATATATTTATAATATATATGTAACATCTCGAGAGAGAGAGAGAGAAAGAAAGAGAGATAATGAATAGATTAATATTTAAATAATTATATATAATTATTATTCTTATTATTACGTGTAATTATTATTATATACTAATTTAATAATAATAATGAATAAAAGTTTTTTACTTTTGAATAGACACGGAACATACGAAGTTAAATAATACTACAATAATCAAATTAAAAGATAAATAACATATTTTTACTCGTTTCGATTTAAATTGTAAGGTCAAAGTAACTATCTAGCACAAGCGTACTTACTTCTGTGTAAAGTATATAATGTAACAACAAAAAGAATTTATATTTATATATAAGGGTAAGTACATTCGCAAGAAACCTAAACTAACAAATTATTTTTAGCTATATTGATATGAACTATCTCTAGTATAATTCTACTATTTGAAACAATTTCTCATTTGATTAAATTACTTTTAAGTATATTTGCCGTGCAGAATTATTAGAATAGTTAGATAATATGTATCTTAATACAAATATTTATTGTAAATATTTTAAAATTTATTTCTCTATTCTTAGTTGCACATAATGTTCGATTTTGATTATCATATTTTAAAACTACGAAAATTTTCGCGCGCTTTTGAACTGTACCTGAATGTTTGGTTGGTAAGCCTGCTTCCTTCTACTGCTCTCTTCATTTCAGATTGATTCTTTGGGTATGTGGTTGAATTTATTTGTCTTACCAAATCGATTTGGATTCTTTAAATTAATATAAATCCGGTTATAAAAAAGTAAAATTCGATCATATTTAAATATTATAAATGTTTTCTATGAAATATTTTTCTTTTCAATATGTCTAAAAAAAAGTTTAATTGAAGTATGGAGTGATTTGAGGTTAAGTCGTTTCATTAACGAGCATAGCGTGATACTTGTATACGTATGCTTTTATTTAAAATTTAATAAAATTGAATTCTTTTTTTTTAGGCCTATAAACAATGGGTCGAGTAATTCGTGCTCAACGTAAAGGAGCGGGATCTGTGTTCAGATCCCATACGAAAAGGAGGAAAGGAGCACCAAAACTTCGTTCCTTGGATTTTTCTGAAAGGCATGGATATATTAAGGGTGTAGTTAAAGTTAGTATTTAATTTTTTACGAATTCCTTTTTCCGTATATTCTATACTATAAATATTAAAAATGTTTTTTTGATTGAATATTGTCATGATGATTTCTAGTATTCCTACTTCTGAATGTGAATGTAGATTTTAAACTAGAGGCTCTTTCTGAAGATATTTTTACCTACATATTTATAAATAATCAAAGTTTTTTGTTAGTGTTTAATTAATATTCAATTTTGCATTATAGGACATCATCCATGATCCTGGCCGTGGTGCTCCTCTAGCTGTTGTTCACTTCCGTGATCCTTATAAATTTAAGACACGCAAGGAATTATTTATTGCACCAGAAGGAATGTATACAGGACAATTCTTGTATTGCGGAAAGAAAGGTATAAAATTTTATTATCCGATTTTGTATTTGTTATAGTATAAAATACTTTATTTACATTTTACAGCAACATTGCAAATTGGTAATGTTATGCCTGTTGGCACAATGCCTGAGGGTACTATTGTTTGCAATTTGGAAGAAAAAACTGGTGATAGAGGCCGTTTAGCTAGAGCTTCTGGAAATTACGCTACTGTTATTGCTCATAACCCTGATACTAAAAAAACTAGAGTAAAATTACCTTCTGGGGCTAAAAAGGTTATTCCTTCCAATAACAGAGCAATGGTTGGTATTGTCGCTGGTGGTGGACGTATCGACAAACCAATCTTGAAAGCTGGTCGTGCCTACCATAAATATAAGGTCAAGCGTAACTGCTGGCCTAAGGTACGATACTTCATAATATTTGTGTATTTCTCAATATGTATATATTATATATTCCAATGATGCTGTTTAGACATTTGAAACCTGAATTATTAATATCATGTGGATAAATTTTTACTGAGTTATATCGATTAATGAAAACAATAATCGATATTTAATTTAAACATTTTTATATTAAAAATGTATATTTTTAGGTTCGTGGTGTTGCTATGAATCCTGTCGAGCATCCTCATGGTGGTGGTAATCACCAGCATATAGGTAAAGCTTCTACAGTCAAACGTGGAACCAGTGCTGGTCGCAAGATCGGTCTCATTGCTGCTCGTCGTACTGGTAGAATAAGAGGAGGAAAAACAGATACCAAGAAAGACGATTAAATTAACAATACATTACTACGTCTTGATATTTGTTGTACAATAAAAAACAAAAAGACAAACAAGGCTAACTGTTAATAATTTTTTATTGATATCTTGTTACTTTATACATACATACAGATATATTTATATTATTCCATACAATGATAAAATTAATATAATTCTTCCATCCTTTAATTTTATTTTATTTGAATGTTGACTAACTAATCAAAGTGCATAGTGCATGGGATAATTCTTAAGTATAAATTATAAAGTTTAAGTTAGCTTTTAATGAATGAATTCTTATTGGATGATAAAAGCAACTACAATTAATAGTTAGTTCACATAGCAGAAACCTAAGAATTAAAATACATACGTATTTAATTATTATTTCATCAAATTATCAAATTTAATTTAATTTCATTGCAATCGAATATATGAAAACGATAATAATAGTCATAAAAATTATAAGAAACACGTGGAATTGGAATGTTCCCTATTCAGGAATGGTGTATTTCCGGCGGATCTACAGAGGACGCCATGTTATTATCTATATCGCGTTTCTCTGCCATTTTTGTTGCGTCGACGTTAAGTGTGGCCAGGGGCCTCTCTCTCTTCATAGCATTCAGTCATCAAGCTTCGTTTGTATCTGATAATAGCATCAGAAGAACACCGGTATTACGACTGTTCTGACAGGCGACTGAAATTTCGTTCGCATATTGGCGTACACAATAAGTAAGAAAAAGAATATACAAATATAAGGAAACGGGAACGTTGAACTTTTTTGGCACGGTGAGAGAGTTACGATTTGGGGAGAGTGAGCTACACGAGAATCTACGGCAGAGCTACGAAAACTACGCACAGAGGCGGAGTAATATGAGTAATGCAGCCAACCAGAATGGATCAGGTCTAGAGCAGCAGGTAAGAATGAGTGATATTATAAGAAGTGTATTTCTAATAAGTTCTGCTGACAATTTTCTCTTTTGAGTTGCTTTGTCTCTCTTTCTCCCTCGCTCTTTATCTCTCTCTCTCTCTCTCTCTCTCCTTTCTCTATTCTTTCTTTTATCTTCTTCTCTCTTATACATACTTCCATTTCATGCACGTTGCATTTATCCGTTGCATTATTCCGACCCTCCTTCCCCTCCCCTTTTCTCTCTCTTCTTTTTATTACTCCTTGCGATATTATTATTACAAAATTAGAACGTAGGCGTAAGGGAATATCAAAAGGCATGCGCGAAAACCTTAGCTTTGTATCCCTTTGTTCGGTCAGATATTCAGGAACGCTGATGGCTCGACTCTGAACCAGTTCGTGACGTATGGTTTTATAATGGCGGCAAGCAATTCCGGGAACGGCATGCCTCGTGCCATGACGCATATAACGTATCGCTTTATTCATTTTCATTATATTTTTTTCTTTATTCCTTTTCTTCTATCTCTAGTATATTCCCACGCTTGGACGTATTGTAACCTTTGTGATTTGTTTTAAATCGATACCGTTCCACTGATACAAACTATCTATTTATCTATCTATTTATCGCTTCCTACCTTGATTATCTGTAGAGTAAATAAAAGCAATATGAAATAGCGAAGTTCACTTATTAGATTCTTGACCGAGTAGTCACGAGGCTATTGCGCGTCTTACATTAATCGCTCGAATTAACATGATATCGCGGGAAAATATCGATATTCATATACTTGTCCTTTTCTTTTTTTCTTTCTTTTTTTTTTTAAATGTCGTTAACATTGATCCATAATCTTGTAATGAATATTATAACATGATGTACTATTAACAAATTTCGAATTAAAAGTAATATTATCAAATAGATCAAGATTTTTTGTATTCATAACATATATTGTATAATATATGTTAAGACTGTTAACTATCTAATAAGAATATTCGATGATAATCTTTTCTTTTGCAACAGTTAGCTGGTCTGGACTTGCAGGGCTCCCGCCAACCAAGCGAGGGTCGCTACGTTCCACCACATCTACGTAATAAATCTGCAAGTAAGTATTGAAACTTTTTGTTGTTTAAATAACTTTAAGATTAAGAGTTTGCTTTAGAGAGTAAAGATTAGTTATAATATTTTGTAGAATTTTAAGTATCGGGATTGTTAATAACATTGAATATTATAATTGTAGGTAGCACACCGTCAGCCGGTGACCAACATTCCAATTCTAATTCTCGGTCACTGTATTCTGATAGAGACAGGGGCGGAGATCGGGATAGAGACCGTGAAAGAGAGAGGGATAGGGGCAGAACAGCAGGTCTAGGATTTAGAGACACCCGTAGTGGTGGACGCGACGTCGATTTTGGAAATTTTGGCAACTTTGGTGGACGCAGTAGACGCGCTCCTAATCAGGAAAATGGCAGAGATTTTAGATATGCAGGTTCCGAACGTGATCGGCCAATTAGTACCGGTAATGATCGATGGCAGGAGCAACCTAGAAATGATCGTTGGCAAGAGAGTAGAAATGATCACAGAATGGGAAGCGGTGGTGGCAGATGGAAGGACGACAGGGAAGGTGGTAGAGGAGGAGGAAGAGGAGAAATCGATTGGACGATTCCCACAACCAGAGATGAGCGATTGGAGGTGGAACTATTTGGTACTGGTAATACTGGTATCAATTTTAGTAAATACGAGGATATACCAGTTGAGGCTACTGGCGATGACATACCACCACACATCACATCGGTTGGTATAATCATGCATAGACACTTTAAGCATAGATTTTTAAACATCAATAACAATGTCTAATAATATTATTTTATAACGTATTTTTTTTTTATATTATTTCAGTTTGATGAAGTCAAGCTGACCGAAATCATAAAAAACAGCATTAGCTTGGCAGGTTATGATAAGCCTACACCAGTTCAAAAGTATGCCATTCCGATCATCATCGGACGGCGCGATGTGATGGCCTGTGCCCAAACAGGGTCTGGTAAAACAGCGGCCTTCTTAGTGCCAATATTAAATCAGATTTATGAGAGCGGACCCCGTGCGCCACCACCGCAGGGCAGTTCTGGAAGACGTAAGCAATATCCATTAGGTCTTGTGTTAGCACCTACGAGAGAACTTGCTACTCAAATTTATGACGAGGCGCGCAAGTTTGCGTATAGATCGCGTATGCGACCTGCTGTAGTTTATGGTGGCTCCAATATAGTGGATCAAATGCGAGAATTAGATCGGGGTTGTCATTTACTAGTTGCAACTCCTGGTCGTCTTGCTGATATGCTTGGCCGTGGTAAAATTGGCTTAAATAATTGCAGGTATATATTTATTTTTATACAATTTGATTAGAAAATCTTTACAATTATGTTATCAAAAATGTTAACATTTTGTAGATATTTGGTATTGGACGAAGCCGATCGTATGCTTGACATGGGTTTTGAACCTCAAATAAGAAAGATCGTTGAAGAGGATACCATGCCACCGACTGGAGAAAGACAAACACTTATGTTCTCTGCTACGTTCCCAAAGGAGATACAGATGTTAGCTCGAGACTTTTTAAGCAACTATATATTTTTAGCAGTTGGCCGTGTTGGTTCTACGTCCGAAAATATTACACAAAAAATTGTATGGGTCGAGGAACAAGATAAACGTTCATATTTACTCGATCTTTTACAAGCTAGTAGATTTTCAGATCCTTGTAAGTTTTTCCTTTTAAAACACGTTTATCAGAATTTATTGCAGCGACTTTAAAAAATAATTTTTATCTTACGGTTTGTTCGTTTTAAAATATTTTAGCCGCGCTAACGTTGGTATTTGTCGAAACAAAGAAAGGAGCAGATATGCTCGAAGAATATTTACATAATATGGGTTATCCAGTAACCAGCATTCATGGTGATAGAACTCAGCGAGAACGAGAAGAAGCATTACGTCGATTTCGTGCAGGAAAAGCGCCGATACTTGTTGCTACTGCTGTGGCTGCTCGTGGTCTTGATATTCCTCACGTTAAGCACGTTATTAATTTTGATTTGCCAGGTGATGTTGAGGAGTATGTTCATCGTATCGGTCGTACAGGACGTATGGGGAACTTAGGTTTGTTTTTAATATTTATTTCTCTTATATCGAAATATAAATTAATATAAATTTTGTAATAAATACAATGTATATATTACTGAGTATAATTATTAATTTATTTGCTACGTTTCTAGGCTTAGCAACATCTTTCTTCAATAACAAGAACCAGAATCTTGTACGGGATTTGGTATCTCTTCTCGTCGAGGCTAATCAAGAGCTTCCACCTTGGCTCGAAGATTTGTTCACGGATGCACGTTATTCCGGTGGTTGTTCTCGTCGTGCAGGTAGTACCAAAGGAGGTGGAGGTGGTGGCGGCGGTGGTGGTGGCGGCGGAGGAGGAGGCGGAGGAGGTGGAGGACGTTTCAGCGGTGGTTTTGGTGCACGTGATTATCGTCAGCAACCAAGTGGTGGATCTACTCGTAATAATGGTCCATCAAGTAGACCAGGTAGTTACGGAGGTAAGAATTATTTATTATTTTTCACCTAAAACTTATTCTCCTATTTTATTTAAAAATACTTAAGTGTTTTTGTTCACACGAGTAGTAAAGAATAGTTGGTATCGATCGTTTCCATACGAATAATTTACAAAATTAGATTCGTTTGACTCGACGGGTCTTCGCGTGCACGGCAGAGTTCATATATACGTATACACTTCAGTGAAATATTATTTACGATACAATTAAATTTTCCAGGCGGTTACGGAGGAGGTTATGGAGGGAATTATAATTCATCATACAACAATACCGCTAACAACAGTAGTGGTGGTATACACCCTGATTGGTGGGAAGGATGGGACAAGTAAATCCTTATCGCCATCTCTATTTCCACTTCTACCATTATTAATCTACACGAAAATTTAATTATATGTAAGGAAGACACGTACGACATACACATCCAATATAATGAGCACACGTAACGATGGACGCGTGCGTATATTCTCGCGTATGTTATATATGTATATACACATATACATATATATATATATAATATGTATATTCATATGTATACATATATACACATATATCAATGGACAGACAGTATCACGTATAATCCATTCACGTTTGCTAACTGCCTGAGCACTCCAGTTTCCGAAGGAAAAAAACAAAGAAAAAACCCCCTGAGCAAACTATCTTGATTGAATTCCACACACAACTATTACACACATACACACATGTACACACATTTATTCGTGCGCGTTTTTGAGTCTTAACAAATCCTCGTTTAACCGATGTGAGAAGATTATATTTTGTTATCGGATATCAAAAAGAGATAAAAAGGGTCGCTGGAGGTGCGCATAAATAATTTCTAGAAATAATTAGAAGGAACTTGGAATAATAATTTCGGACGATATAAAAATAATATATTATAATATATATCAAGATATCCGCAAACAAAATGTGTAGGATTTGTTAAGCGCTAGTTAGAAATCCAACCAACGTCTCGTTGCTATTGCGCGCCGACGAATACAAGTAGTATCTAATCAATAACAAATCAAATCGATTGATCGTTAATACCTGTTCCGAAGGTAACAATGTAATACTACATAGTAGATGAAGAAACTTAGTAAAATTTTTTAGAACTCCTGTCGAGACTACGGGGCTCATTGTAGCTTTATTATTTCAATTCTTTGAGAAAACGAGAGAGAGAGAGATAGAGAGAGCAAGAAAAGAAAGAAAGAAAGGGGGGGGAGAGAGAGAGAGAGAGAGAGAAAGAAAGAAAGAGAGACAGTGTGAGAGGCTCTTTGTCAATAGACTCAGAAACGATACGACCGCTATTAATCGTTTAAATATGCTTAGAATGAATGAAGATGACGTTTCTCAAAGATCAACTATTCGTATCATTTGGTTTCAGTGTACTGCTGATGTTATTTTTGATTATCAAAACACATTTATCTCTGGCGCCCGTGGTACGTCCAGCCATTACCGCCATATATTTCGTGACTATATCATTTTATTATTCTTTTTCCTGTATGTATGTACATACATAAGTATACATCATATATATGTATACTTTCATACATACATACATATATGTATGTATCTATGATACATATATAAATTTTGTTTTCCTTTTTTTTTCTTTTTAAAACATAATATAACTCAGCAACGAATGGTACTTTGTTGTTTTGCCGTCCCCAGAGACAGACTACGCTGTACGCCGGCAATATCACGGTTTTACTCGAATATGCCACGTGAAGTTTTTCTGGGAATCGAATATAAACTCGAGACCGGAAAAGAATAAATAAATAATAGGCTACGTCTTAAGGTACCTTTAGAAATCTCATTTCTAGATCTACGTATCTACATTTTGTCATATAACTTTTTCATTTAATTGTATCTATTCTCGCGTAGAAAAGGTATTATATATAGGAAAGGAGATGTGTTTTGCAAAATGAGCTTATCGATCTGTAAAGTATTTTCTTTTTTTTCTTTTTTTTTTTTTTCTTTTTAAATAATTTCATTTTGTTATCTTTTTCTTCTTCTTTTGTATCCCGTTTCATGTTAGTTTAAATGAGCGACATTAATCGCATATGCGCTGCTGGTGTTAGGGGATAACAAAAAAGAATACGAAGAAAAGAATCCCACTCTCTCATAAAAGATAATTAAGAAAACAACAGATGCATCAATTGCGCGTATACATGAATTTTAACATAATTCCTATAAATCATTTCTAAACGTAACAAAGACGTTGCCCCTAAGTGACAAAACTATTACGGTGTGTTATACAAAATATTCAAATTATAATGTGGTCTGGTTGCGAGAGAGAAAACGAGTGAACGTGAGAGAAAGAGAGAGAGAGAGAGAGAGAGAGAGTGTTTTATACGAGAAAAATAATAAACACTCTTATATAAAATACGGTTGCAGTTACAGGAAGAAGGTGTTTAGAGATAGAGATAGAAAGAAAGAAAGAAAGAGAGAGAGAAAAAAAAGAAATAAGAGCATAAAAAAGTGAATGCATTGCTGGTTTAGCAGAGGTCGAGAGAGAAATAAAGGAGCAGCAAGCCTCTTGACTTTAAAGGAGCCACAAGAGACGCACTCATAATACCTATTTTATAACTATATTTATCAGTATGATAACGCGCTATATATATACATACTAAGTACTATTCGTATAAATACATAACATTATAAAATAATTGAAAAACGACTGTGATATCGAACGATCTTGTGACATTCAATTTCCAAGCAAATTGAAAGAAAATAAAAATGATAAACGTGAGTAAGAGAGAAGAGAGAAGAGAGAGAGAGAGAGAGAGAGAGAGAGAGAGAGAGA